TATACGCACAAACAAATCTCCCACCCAAATTCAGCTCTTGCCAGACCATTCACATGGAAACCTATCACAGTTTCTGAATTTAAAACTTTTTTGGGGCCTCACCCTCAACATGGGCATTACAAAAAAGAATGAATTGCAGTCATATTGGTTCACAGACCAGATTCATCATATGCCCATGTTCTCTGCTGTTACATAAATTCCCAAGATGGACCAGCAATATACTGGTACGTAGCTGGAGATTGAGTGGTTATACCAGGATGATGGCTGCAGCTACAGGCATCATTCTGGTATAGCTTTTTTTTCGTCGGCTTTCATGTAAAAACAATCCTAGCTGCTAATTAGCCACTGGATTGCTTTTACAAGCAGCAGGATGGGACTCCTCTACCCCTTCCCACCACCTTTCAAGAATTTCTTGGGCTCTCCCGCTGGCTGACAACAGAGCTGATCGGAGACTGCAATGCCTCCTAGCATCTCTATAAACAAGACCAGAAGCTTCAAGCATTTTATCATTTTCGTTTGCCGGGTGAAAACAGCGCCATTTTAAAATTGGGAAAGCATCTGATCACACCGATCTTGATGGGTGTGACCAGATGCTTTAAGGGCAGTGGAGAGATAAAGAGTCTAACAGATCCCAGATTTCTCATAAGGATATTTACATTCCCTGTGATAGCAATGAAAGTGATAAAAAAATGAAAAAACAAACAGTGCAAAAATAAATTGAAAAAAGGCAAAATAAACAAAACAATTACCCCCACCCCCATTCCCGTGCATGTGCAGATTTCACCTTGCATGTGAGATATCACTGCGAACGTCAGATCGATTGCAGTAATTATAGCACTAGACCTCCTGTGTAAATCTAAAGTGCTGACCTGTAAAGGCTTTTAAAGCATCGCCTATGGATATGAAAAATGTTCAAAATCTGTCACCGTTAAACAGGTGTGCGCAATGTTAAAGCATGCCATATTTGGTATTCACTTACTCGATGCAACATCATCTTTTATAGTGTATCAAACAATTGGGCAATATATTGTGTTTTTGTGCATTAAAATGCTAAAAAGTGTATTTCTTCAAAAAAATTTGCGTTTGAAAATCTGTGCAAATACTGTGCTACATAAAAAATTTCAACACCCGCTGTTTTATTCTTTAGGGCCTCGGCTTTAAAAAAAAATATATATCATGTTTGGGGGTTCAAAGTAAATTTTCTAGCAAAAAAAAGTGTTTTTTTCAGTAAACAAAGCGTCAGAAAAGGCTTCAAGTGGCTAGAAAAGTGGGTGATGTCTGGCAATAACTTCTATTGTTGGCCCTGAAATGCCAGGATAGTAGAAGCAACCCCTCCAAATGACCCCTTTTTGGAAAGTAGACACTCCAAGGTATTGGCTAAGAGGTATGATGAGTATTTTGCAGATCTCATTTGTTGCCACAAGTTTTGGAAGACGAAGAAAGAAAATTAAAAATGTATTGCTTTTCTTTTATTCTTTTTCAAAACCCTGTGACAAAAATTATATCTGCAAAATACTCACCATGGCTCTTATCAAATTCCTTGGGGTGTCTAATTTCTAAAAAAAGGGGTCATTTGGGGAGAGGGGGCGATTGTGCTATCCTGGCATTTTAGGGCCTCCGAAACTGTGATAGGTAGTGAGGAAGTGATATGAGGAAATATGCCATTTGAAAGCCTGGAGGTGGTCATTGGATATTGGGGGCGTGTATGTGGCTAGGCTGCCAAAAAGTCTCTCACATGTGGTATACCCATACTCGGAAGAAGTTGGTTGAATGAAAAAAAAAAAAAAAAAAGCGAGTGTGTATACCCTGTTTTATACATAATTGTTTTGTTGTTAACGTTTACAATAAGTCTCAACATTCATTTTAGTGGCCCTTTACCGAATGCTGCTTATGAAATGTTTTGAAGTCAATGAATTATTGGTGGTGGTCTTGGGGTTTGCTAGGGGATACGTTTTGGCAGAAGAGACATTTCGCCTCTCTTCTGTTGAAAGCTCTACCTATTAGCATTTTTTTTTTTTTTAATTTTCAGAGTTTAATTTCACATTAACTGTTTAGTGACGGAAGTGTATGTTAAAACAGAGATAGTTCTGGGGCTGAGAACTTAGCAGACACCGCTGATCGCTCAGTTCTCCCTGCCACTCTCAGCAGAAAGCGGTGACTATCAGTCACCGCTGTCTGCTCTGCCCCCCCCCTCCAATGCTCACAGGATTGCTGGACTGTGGAGGGGGCAGGATGGGCTGGCTCAGGCTCTCAGCAGCTCGTTGAGAGGTTGGGCCGGGTGCCGGTCCAGACATTTGAGTGGATCCCTCTTTAAAGTTGGGATCTTTCCCCAGCCTGGACTGATTGAGTGACGTCAGCCGACAGTTCTGTATATTCTCTCAGTGTATAAATTTGTTTCCTCTCATAATTAAATTGTACTAGGAAGCTAAACAGCTTGCACACAAAACTGTGTATCTAGCTCTAAAAATGGTAGAGACATAAAATCACACGTTTTATGAACTCATAACTATATTCACAGTATTGAAATACAACTACACCACTAATTGCAGAGCTTTATATACAGTGGGGCAAAAAAGTATTTAGTCAGCCACCAATTGCGCAAGTTCTCCCACTTAAAAAGATGAGAGAGGCCTGTAATTGGCATCATAGGTAGACCTCAAGTATGAGAGACAAAATGAGAAAAATAATCCAGACAGTCACATTGGCGATTTGGAAAGAATTTATTTGCAAATTATGGTGGAAATTAAGTATTTGGTCACCTACAAACAAGCAAGATTTCTGGCTCTCACAGACCTGTACCTTCTTCTTTAAGAGGCTCCTCTGTCCTGCACTCATTACCTGTATCAATGGCACCTGTTTGAACTTGTTATCAGTATAAAAGACACCTGTCTACAACCTCAAACAGTCACACTCCAAACTCCACTATGGTGAAGACCAAAGAGCTGTCGAAGGACACCAGAAACAAAATTGTAGACCTGCACCAGGCAGGGAAGACTGAATATGCAATAGGAAAGCAGCTTGGTGTGAACAAATCAACTGTGGGAGCAATAATTAGAAAATGGAAGACATACAAGACCACTGATAATCTCCCTCGATCTGGGGCTCCATGCAAAATCTCACCCCGTGGGGTCAAAATGATCACAAGAACAGTGAGCAAAAATACCAGGACCACACGGAGGGACCTAGTGAATGACCTGCAGAGAGCTGGGAACAACGTAACAAAGGCTACCATCAGTAACACACTACGCCGCCGGGGACTCAGATCCTGCAGTGCCCGACGTGTCCCCCTGCTTAAGCCAGTACATGTCCGGGCCCATCTGAACTTTGCTAGAGAGCATTTGGATGATCCAGAAGAGGATTGGTAGAATATCATATGGTCAGATGAAACCAAAATAGAACTGTTTGGTAGAAACACAACTCGTATTTGGAGGAGAGAGAATGCCGAGTTGCATCCAAAGAACACCATATCTACTGTGAAGCATGGGGGTGGCAGCATCATGCTTTGGGGCTGTTTCTCCGCAAAGGGACAAGGACGACTGATCCATGTACAGGACAGAATGAATGGGCCATGTATCGTGAGATTTTGAGTGCAAACCTCCTTCCATCAGCAAGGGCATTGAAGATGAAACGTGGCTGGGTCTTCCAACATGACAATGATCCCAAACATACCACCCGGGCAACGAAGGAGTGGCTTCGTAAGAAGCATTTCAAGGTCCTGGAGTGGCCTAGCCAGTCTCCAGATCTCAACCCCATAGAAAACCTTTGGAGGGAGTTGAAAGTCTGTGTTGCCCAGCGACAGCCCCAAAACATCACTGCTCTAGAGGAGATCTGCATGGAGGAATGAACCAACATACCAGCAACAGTGTGCGCCAACCTTGTGAAGACTTACAGGAAACGTTTGACCTCTGTCATTGCCAACAAAGGATATATAACAAAGTATTGAGATGAACTTTTGATATTGACCAAATACTTATTTTCCACCATAATTTGCAAATAAATTCTTTCCAAATCAGCCAATGTGATTGTCTGGATTTTTTTTCTCATTTTGTCTCTCATAGTGGAGGTCTACCTATGATGCCAATTACAGGCCTCTCTCATCTTTTTAGTGGGAGAACTTACACAATTGGTGGCTGACTAAATACTTTTTTGCCCCACTGTAGATACAGACTTTGTGTGTTTGCATGGATCACATGTTACTGTTTATTTGGTTTTTACTTCTTTGATCACTTTTCATAGATATGAATGACTTCATAGTGAACGTGTACGGTAAGTGAAGTTTGTACACTATATACCACTATTAATTTATATATTTGGTTTCACTGATTTGATCGCTTTTCATAGGTGTGAGTGACTTCATAGTGTACATGCACAATAAGTGAAGTTTGTTATAAATAGCGCAATATTTTATTTCACAAAGTTTTTTGAAAAGAGAGGATATCCTCTAATATTTGCAGCTTTGTATAACAAAGGTACCAGGAATTTGCGCAGTTTGATCTGTATATATTTTTCAGAAAACATACAGTATAATGTTTGGGGGTTTTGATTAATCTTCATACCTAAAATTATTTTTCAAAAGGTTGTGCAAAAAAACAATAATGGTTCTGATGGTTCTGGCAGCGAAAGTGTAATAGGAGTAGGCTATAAACAATTGAAGCATGATTATATGATTTTATATTTTGACCACAGATATGCTTCTAAAAACAAAGATTACAATTTCTCAAGACTCTCAGTTTTGCATAGCTCATTATGAAAGAAGTAAACTGAAAGTTGTTCCTAACAGTTTGGGAACATCAGTTCGTATAGCAGAACATTTTTGTGCGGTATATTGTTTTTTTTTCTCAAACAGCAGCTTGCACGTAAGCCTTTGAAAGCATATGGAAGATAAAAATATTCCACACAGTCAGTCCCTTGGACCAATCTACTGTTACAAATGACAAACCTGTTTTCAGCAATTCAAAGCAAACACAGATTCTTTTCATTTCGGGATGAAAGTTACTTACCCAGCTCTGGTGCTTTGCTGAGCACAAATGCATATGCCCAGAATTTGCTGACTGGTCCATAATAAAAGCTCTGGTCACAAACGGACTGCTTGAGGCCTTTGGTCATCAAAATGTATAGCATATAAGCACCAGTCCGGACAGCACCAAATATACTGAAATAGATTAAAAGTGATGAACATGCCAGAAATTCTGCAAACATTCATATGATCAATTAAAACTTTGTTACTGTTATTGTATACTTCACTTATTTTTCTACATAAATGAATATGCTGTACATTATCTAGAAAAATACAAGCAGCAGCCTTTATTTTCCCTCTAAAAGAAATGTTTCATACAATAAAAGAATATTTGATTTATTTTGTGAACTACCAGTTGAAACATAGGAAGCAGCTGAATATCCCCCAGGTGACAATGCTAGGTTTCCTGCCAGCTACAGGATGTCACACCAGGATGTACCAGCTGTGAAGAGTTTGAAGACCAAAGCCGCCAGACAATCTTTTCTTACATGGTGTCTTGAGTTTGGGAGCTGTGACAGGATCACTTTAACCATATATGAGGAAATCTATATTCTACACACTAATGTCCATTTCTCCAAACTTTACAAGTTTTTGTTCTCAGCGCCTGTCTCTCATCCTGTAATCCTAAGGCCACCTTCACATTGGGCAGACTCCAGCAGCGGATCCGCCTGCTCAGTGGGGAATCTGTCCACTGATCCCCGCTAAGCAGGCAGATGACAAATCTGTGTCCGCTCCGCTTATCAGACTGCCATCCGATCCACCAGACGGAAGAGGATCTGTTTTTAGCAGGACAGGATCAAATTGGATGTCGGCAGGCAATAGATGGTCTTATCAGGTTCACCTAAAAAACTGACAAGCGGACCCAATTGGTCCACCCATGTGAAAGGGGCCTAACAGCAAACAATAAATGATACAATGTAATAACCAGCAAGGAGGATGCAGTATGCCCTTATACAGTCTGTGTCTCTCAGTCATTTTAAAGCAGAATAATCCCATATAAAAAGGTTTATATTTTTGAAGGGCCAACAAACGTGCAATGTACAAGTATATTATACAGCAATGGCAGAAATGAGCCTCTAATTTCTCATTTCCAAACAGGGGCGGACTGACCATTCGAGCACTCTGGCACTGCCCAAGGGCCCGGGGTCAGTAGGGGGCCCCATGAAATGCCCTTGGTACCTTTTATAGGCTTTTTTTGAGTGTGGGCGAGGACATAGGGGCCCCATGATCCCCTATTGCCCGGGGGCCCCAAGAGTTGTCAGTCCGCCCCTGCTTCCAAAGGAAGCATGGGCTTGCATGCTGTATCACTAGCCTATATCACAAATGTGGCTGTTTAAAATGCATGCAGCACTTATATTGCTCAACAATACTAGAAGCCACATTTAACTTCAAGATCATTAATATTCTGTACCACTTTGATACATTTTGCATATTTCCATAATAGTCTACTTTAGAATAACTCTTTAGGGTTTGCAGAGTCCACAAAATGTGTACTGCTCCAACCCTGCGGACGCTCCCCTCATTAGTTGGAAAGCAGTATTGGCTTGAGATCTGTCACTCCTCTATAGATAGCTCAGTAATATCCAAAGGAAATGCTGCACACAGATGAGGTCTTCAAAAGGCAAAATTTCAAAGCAGTGAACAAGATGAGACATGGTCTTGCCCCCAGGACAACTCCTTTGACATGTTTCACTCAATGGACTTAAGCTGGCCATACACTGAGATTTAGTCAGTTCCGCAGGGATCAGCCAAATTTCGATGAGTTTGTGGTCGTCCCTACTCAACAGAAGGGTCGTGCTGGAAAACTTCTTGATTGGCTTCAGCCGCTGATCAGTGTATTCTAAGGTTCCATTGTATGAATGCAATGTTATGGCAGGGAAGGGGATTCCTCTATCCATTAGTGTATGTCGTAAATTTCCTCCAGAATTGTTCCTGTTTCTTCTTGCTGGAGGCTGCCATTTTGCTGAAGCTCAGATCCCCGAGCAGCAGTAAATCTTTAGGCTGTTAGCAGATCAGCCTCTATTTTTTGACACAATGTCTAAAATGTAGAGAGCAACTGAGCATGTGCAGAGCAGGGTGAGAGTGTTTTACTGGACTTTTACCAGTATATGCACTTATTTTTGAGGTTTTACATTGCAATACCTGCTAAAGGGGCCAGCCTGAAGTGATATATCAGGACTTACTTTTCTGACTAAAGCTCCACTTTAAGCCTATCAAGTGAAACATGTCAGAGAAGTGGTCCTTGAGGCTGGACCAAATGCTGAAGCTTGTTGATGGACTAAAGTTTTGTCCATAGATATGTCAGTGTGCACATTTCCTTTGGATTATACTGAGCTAACACTTTGTTTCAGTCATTTATTACTTGGACAAATTTTCTGTAAGTCTTTAAGAATCTAACTTCTTTTCGCTTTAGGTGGCAGAGTTAAAATGGACAGAATGGGGTTGATCCTAGTGACAACCCACATCCAACCCTCCCAGAATCCCAGTGATAGATTAACTTTTTCTACCTGAACACAGCAAGGCTGAGAGACCATAGAACGAGAGGTTTTCTTAGCTCAAACTTTTCCCGTTGTTTCATTAGGTGCCGACCACCAAATATAAAGGCAGCATACAATGCGGAAAATAAAAATGATTTCTTCCTGAAAAAAAAAGAAAAAAGAAAAAAAAGTGTAAAAATTGTAGACATCAATACAATTCCAGTATCAGTATCCTACCATTTAACCAATGTTGATAAAATATACCTATGTTCATAAAATTACAAAATAAACTGTATATAGCCATATGTTGTAACAAACTACTCATCACAGCAGCTTTGAGGAATGGGTTACCTCCAGGCATAACTTCTCTTCTGCTTCTCCAAACTAAGCACTGCAAGTGTGATCTCTAGAACTGACACAGTTGTGGCAAGATAGCTGTAACTTACAATATCAGTAAAATTAGAAGACAGTGACTTGATCAAAATGACATGCTGTAGATCATAGAAAAGTTATATCTAAACTAGTGAAGGCCATAAAAGATGAACATCAGATCAATGAAAAAAGTCATAGTGTCTCTAGCTCCACCAGAATACAGTACATGTGATGAATGGAGGGGCTAAAGCATGAAGAAGGGTGGGACTAACTACATAGAGCATCAAAAATTCCACAGCATAGTAGATCCTTGGAGTGCAAAAATGGCTATGCTGCCTAAACCCAAATCATGGAAAGGTACATCCAAGAAACTGCAAAAAAAAAAAAATAAAACACAAATACAAAAGCATAAAGCACCTTCTAAGGCTACCACATACCTTTATTAGCAGTGGGATATGATTCAAGTAAAAATATGCCAGTGATGCAAACCCAAACCCTCAGGTCACCTCCCTCCCTCCTGAAGTCCCCCCATCACACACATTCCCAAACCCCCAAAAGATTTCTAACCCCCACCCTCCACCCCTGTGGAGGGGGGAAAGATCACAGGATCAAGAGTTGGGTGGGAGTTGGGATTCTTGGTGGGGGGGGGGATGACCCAAGGGTTTGGATCACTGGCATGCTTTTACTTGATCCTATTGCTAATACTTGATCCCATTGCTAATAAAAGGTATATGGTAGCCTTAGAAGGTGCTTCATCCTTTGTGGTTTGTTTTTGTTGTTTGTTGCATCCCCTAACTACGGAATGATGTATGGATAAAAATTATTTAAGGAAAACAAACGATGCATGTGTAACATGAAACTTGTCCTCAAAAGTGTAAATAATGTCTAATTACAGAAGCTTTTTAAAATTAGTGTTAGGGACCAAACTACACAAACCACATAATTGCAAATGTATGTAACTAAAAACCTCTGTTTTTATCGCAAATTCTTGACAACATGGTAAAGTGTGCTGGAAAATTTTTGCAACGTACTGAAAGCACACATCTTATATGAAAATGTACCATTACTGGGCAATCTGACTAAAGGAAAAGAGATAAAGAGTAGGCACATGGGTCAGGATAGCACTTGGCAGAAATAAAGAACAGCCGTGTTTGCGTAAATGTAAGAGGTAACATGAAGAAGTTGCACTAGACAGTCATCTGCAGTTGGAAAGAAGTAAATTCAACCCACATGTCAAGATGTAAAGTTTAAGCCTCTTTGCTAAATATTCGCAGTGTCAGTTTCTTGGCAGTCCTTCGCATGCAGCCGATTAGACACTTGGCACCAATACCAAGCTAAGCGAGGTGCCAATAGTACTTTTTGTTGTAATGATAACAGCTGTACTCCCACTTCATTAATAAAAGTGCAACTGGAGATATCAAGACCGACAACATAGAGCGCAGAAGGCTAAAACCTCAGGAATTGCAGGTCACACATAGGTCAGGATACACCATTACTCCCTTAGAAGACTGACATAATGATGCCAACAAGATACAGTGGTACATAGTTCTGTATCACATTATTAGAGAGGAAAAAAAACAGAACAACAGACACTACTGTAAACCAAAGGATGTGAAAATGCCAAACAAAAGCCTAAACAAACATTCTAAATCAGTGTCCAACCTGTTAAACCTTCCTGGGCCACAATGGAAGAAGAGGAATGGTCTTTCCACCATGCAATTTTCTGGGGATTCCCACGCATAAAAACATTAGATACATGGGGTAGCCATCAGGAGTGACTGACAGCAATGCGTCTGTTGGCTGCGGGAACAGCTGCAATTCCTGCACCTTTAACCCTTTGAGGACCAAGGGACGTATTTGTCCCAGGTTTTTAATTGCGTGTATCATCTGATTAAGAACTTAAAACTCTTTTTTTTTTTTGGTTTGAGTCAAAATATTAGTTCTTTTCTTATCAACAAACAACAAATGGATCTAGCTTTTTGCCAATTATTTCATGAAATGGCCAGCAACTGAAGTGTACAAACTTTAAAAACCAAAAAATTGATTCTTTTGGCGTTCCAAAATCTTACGGTCCTCAAAGGGTTAACCGCCTGCAGAAGTGTGAACCTAGTCTAAATTCACAGTTTGTAAAATCCGTGATTTTTACATCTGTCTGTGAAAATCTGCAGACTGCATGTCCATAACAGACAGTCATGGACAGACGTAAAAATCATGGCTTTTACAAAACGGTCTTTCAATTAAATGGTGGTTGACAACTGTATGCGGAGGTAGAGGGGAGGTTGTGGGCGGGGAGCTTGGGGGGGGGGGGGGGATGGTGGACAACTGAAATCTGGGAGGAGCACTGCCCACCTCAACACCCCAACCACACACACACACACACAGCCAATTGCCATTTACTTGCCTGGTGCTATGTAGAATCCCTGCTTTAGCTGTTTTACAATGGCAGCACCCCTGGCCTCCCTTTAGTTTTGCTCATTCCTGCATTCTCTGCCTATACAAATAGGTATACATGGCATCCCCTGCACCAGTCCATACATGCTAGCCACTATGGCTTTTCTTGCACAGGGTTCTTCTAGACATGCCCCAGGCCATATGCTGAACTCTCCTAGGCTGTGGGTTGGACACCCTGTTCTAAATACTTATGTGAAATGCTTTACCTACAAAAACATCCTCTACCTACGCAATCAGGAGAGTGACAAACACCTTTTTGATTTTCATTTTCCTTTGTCACCCATCTGCTCATTAGACTATGAAAGAGCATCTAAATTCTGATACGGTCTTCCCTCTCCTACACTCCTACTGAATATGTTTAAAAAGCCCATGCCCAGTCACAAATGAACAAAAATTAGCACAAGGAACACTACTTAATCAATAGGATGTGTACCTTGTGCTGCTGGCTTTTCCATTACCTGAAATCTTCTTCCTCCAATCCCACCCCCATCATCATAATGTTCCGGTGCCGTGGTAGTTAAAACCAACCAACATGTGACATCAAAAATGCTGGCTATGCCCATCCATTCAGCCCTTTCCTCCATTCAAAGAAACTGTACTATAGCTTCTATGAATGTAATGCGATTTATGAAAGGAAGCTTCGAGGATGAATAAAAGCTCCACCACCTCTATTCATAGATGGTGTTCCATTAATAGAAGCCACTGTATCAGAAGATTACGGCAATGAATGTTTGGGGGAGGAGGTTAGGAAAAGGAGAAAGAAGATTTCAGCTAATGGAGGAGGCAGGTGTATAGAGCAAGCATAGTTAGCATTTTGAGGAGTACCGGCCACAGGTCTGTTGGCTCTATTAACTACTCCCATACCATAGGTACATCTTTTTGTAGTAGTGCTATAAAAGGCTAGCTGTGACCAGTTCTGTAGTAGGTACATTCCAGCTTTATCTACATTCTCCTAGACCAGAGTTTCTCAACCAAGATTCCATAGGATCCTGGAGTTCCTCCAGGGGTTGCTAGGGGTTCTTTGAGCAGTGAGCAATGTTTGATTCTCAGATAAATTCCCACTGAAACCACTGATCTTGTTAGCGCTCTGCAAGGGGGTAATTCTTTTTTCCAATAACCACAAGAGTAAGGAGCCTTTTTCCCCACTGACCAACACACTAATGTATCATGAGTTGTAGATATAGTAAATTTTAGCAGGTTCCCTGAGACTGGAAGGTTATTACAAGGGTTCTTCTGTGCTGAAACGGTTGAGAAAATCTGCCCTAGACAATGCAAAGTTCAGCCATTGCTGTCCATCCCAGCATTATGCTTATCCAGTGCAGTACAACCACTCTTACCAGCAATAACAGTATGATTCAGTGACTGAAAGACCTAAGCTTGGACACTTCTGTAAAACCTTCACATTGAATCCCAAAACACAGGCTCCCCTCATTTTCTATAGGCTCATAACTTCCTCCAACTAAATCCAATAAGCTAAATACTATAGTACAAATACTCAGTTACAAGAATGCAGAAGTTCAGCAAGGCTGTAAAAAATATTCAGTTTCGTTAGAAGCTACAAAACGGACATTCTTAGAAAGAATATATGAAAACTATTTCTAGTAACTAGGAGTATAACTGCCAGGAGGAAACATCTGCTAAAATAATCAATCTCTCCCATTTACATGCTGAGATGAGCAGCGTAATACATTCAAGGAGCATAGAGTGGAAATTAGCAGCAACAAAGATTATCACTGATCCAAGGTCCTAGAAAGCTAGATTTTGTTCAGTTCAATGCTTTTAATCTTAAAAATAAGGGATTAAAGTGTTACTGGACACAAATTACATTTCCAACTACAGCTAGTAGAGTCTGAGATTACTGATTATAAAAGCCTGAAAACATTCTGCTAACAGAGGCAGATGTAAGACAGACATTGCCTGGTCTGACAGACTGTTTTGTGCATGTTTGTATAAAGCCAACAAGCCTATGAAAAAAGGTCTACTTTCACACCACAGAAACTACACGTAGGGTAGGAGACTACACAACAGAATATACTGTATACAATGTCTGCAGTACCTAAGTGTCCCAAATCCTGTGATATAGTCCTGCAACCTTGAACAATGTCCATCACTGTCTGCGTCCAGAAGGATGTCCTGCTGAATTCAGGAATTCACTTGTACTCCAACCAGGGCCTGCATTAGGTTAGGGCAGTGGTCGGCAAGCCGCGGCTCGCGAGCCACATGCGGCTCTTTACAAGCTTAAATGCGGCTCTTCTGTGTGCCAGGCGCCCGCTCCTCTCCCTCCTCTCGGACGGGCGTGTGCCGGGCAGGGCCGCCCCCTCCCCTCCCCTCCTCTCGGA